TGTGATCCCACCAGCACTGAGTACCAACAGACAGACCACAGCTTTCCATAATTGCTGGCCATGCTCCTCCTAACGTATGCAATTTCCTTCATTTGCAGTGAGAGCGCAGGGTTCACTCAAGTTCAGACTGAGGTCTACCATAACCTCCATGACCTTTCCAGCATAGCTGCTACTCAGCCAGTGGCTCTCTATGGGGTTAACCTGCCCTGGGTGAGACCAGACTTTCTGCTTCTCCTTGCTGAACTCTGCGAGATTGCTCTTCATGCAACGCGCAGCTTCCCCAGCTTTACCTTTGAATCGAAGCCCTACAGTTTAGTGTGCCAAATGCCTCTCCTAATTTGGCGTCATCCACGATTTGTTAAGGGGCTGTATTCTGGCCCGTCACACAGGTCTTTGATGAAGATGTCGAACAATATTTGTGCAGCAGCATTCCCTGATGTACTCTGCTTGTTACCGCTGCCAGCTGGACACCAGGACAGTGATTGTTGCCCTTGGGGCCTCGCGGTCCTGGCAGTTTTCAAGCCCACATAAAAGCCCACTCCACCAGCCTCCCCTTCTCTATACAGCCAGTCATGTCATCAGAGGAGGAGAACACACTGGTCAAGCATGACTTACCCTTGGTAAATCACCTTGTCATCCCTCATACCCTTGACAGTTCAAACATGTTCCATGGAACGGATCTCACCGAACCTTCAGTACCTGAAGGTGAGCAAGTCATGGTCTGGGCTGCCCTTAAAAACAATGGGTCCTCCTAGATCAGATTCATCTAAGCCACTGTAGATGCCCATTTTAGAATAAGGTAAATTTGCCACAGAAATGCCCACTTCCTTTCATTTATATAAGCAGGCCATAGAGTACCTAGCTCGACAGCCATATTCAGACAGACAACTCCTACTTCTTGCGCCTTACCTTTAACCCCTATACCTTGTGTAGTTCCCAGTTTTCTGATTCTCTGAAGACTACCTGAGGGTCTCAAAGCCTAACTGAAGATTCCTGTAAGAACAGAAAAAGAGAAAAAAATGTGTCTATCACTTCCAATGTTTGTTCTACCTTTGCTTTCATATACAAACCAGTTAGTCATTGAAGCACATGCTTAGCTTTACTTGCACAAGCAGCCTCAAAACAAAGCTCCTACAGAAGACAGCATGCAATTTAGCTGGCACAAGGAGCTTTTAAGTTTGGAAACTAAGTATCATATTTGATGCCATACAAATAGAAAAAAAAATATATTATTAACGTTGTAGAAAGGCAACTTCTCAGTATTTTTAACTTCAGTAATCATACATTATTATAGAAGCATTAAGAATATAGACTCCCTTATTGCTATTAATTTTCACACCTCTTTGTTGTCCCAAGTGGATTCTGAAACAATATTTGGCAACACTTGATTTTCATACAGACGTTTCATATATCTGCAGGTTTTTCTGACATTTACAGGTTTGTTCAGATATATTTTGGCTTAGATTTCTGTCTGAGCAACACCAGCTATCAAAGCATTTTGACTGTCTCACTGGAAAGGATTTGACATCCGAAAATAAAAATCTATATTTGGCTGCAGGAGGAGTTTGTTGTCTGTTAAACACACAAGAAAACAGCATAATCTTTACTTCACAATTAACACTTCAAGGAAGTAAGATGTTTAATTAAAAATCAAACCAGATATATTGGTTCTTAATTCTCTAGGTCCCATGAGCGTGTATTGGCAAGTGTATGTAGATAGCCTCTTCTTGCAATGAAAGTTCAAAGTACCTATATTTAATGGGAATCGTATGGTTCAATACTTAATTCCCTTTGTGGATGTTAACATTTTCTATTAAGTATTTTTTTTAAATATACAGCAGAAATGGCTTTTTACAGCTTAAGGCGGTGAGCAATTGATTTTTGTGGGGGTTTGGTGGTGAAGCCAAAACCCCTTGTATCAAGGATTAGATGTATAACAATATATTCCAGTTCTCAGGTAAGCATCCAACCAAACAGGCAGCAAAATATCCTGGGTGGAGCCTGCCTGCCTGCCTCCCTGCCTGTTAGAGCGCTTCCACTTCAAGCAGCATATTTAACTATTTAGCAATGACTTAAGGTAAACTTTGAGAAGCTTAGACTTCCATCTGGCTGCTAAAACAGAAACAGCCTTCAAAGATTTAGCCAAATTCTGGCCTCTTAGAGTTCAGTAATCACATCACATTGCTTTTGACTAACCAGTCATCTCACTTTAATTTAAAGTGATCCTGCTTGATTTCTTGGTACTGCTTTAACTAAAAATAAATAATTTTAGAAAACGGGTTATCTCATTAAGATGATACAAAATAAATAAATGATTTATTAGCAATCTCTCCCAAAACTCGTTATTCAGTAGACTTTCAACAGATGTTCACTACATTAGAGAGGGATATAGGGCATGCCTTAGTCATTTAGCTTAGCATCCAATTTTGAAAAGTGACTGCTAGCAAAGTAACTGTTTGAGAGGAAAAAAATACACAAGCCCCATAGGAGGCAAAGGTAGGATAATCTGATCACTAGAATGATTTTATCATGAATTTAACCAGGCAATATCAACTATGTCCAGAGAAGCATAAAGTTGCTTTTCTTGCATCTTTAAATATGGCTGAGCACTCCTGCAATTTTATCTCGGTGTTGCCCCGTCTTTCCCTGAATGGAGCCTGTTCCTTGGCGTCATTAGCAGGCAGTAGAAATGAGTTCCAATTAGGCTTTATGTGAATAGCTGTTTCCCTGTGCTAGCTTCATGTTTTCCACCTTCCAGTTAAGTTCTTAGCTATACAATAAAAAGTAGAGAAATGCTAGCTCAGCCTTTCATTAATTTACGTCTTTCTAACACTTTCCATCTTAATCATCTGCTTGCTGAAATGGGTGTTCTCATTTTTTTCCCCAAAAATGCTCTTAAAAAAATTTTTCTTCTATCTTTTTTTCACCCTTCTCTGAATCTTCTCAGCTTGCATTAGTTTTTCTCAGAGGGGCAATAGTAACTTTGAAATCATCCCAGAGGAGAACTTGCCACCAGAAACATAGTATTTCTGTTATGCTCCGTTCCGTTCTCGGTAATCCCATTCCTTTTTTTGACCCTAACTTTGCAGGGCATTCCCTTATATACAGTGATACACAAGTTCCTGTTCTGAGCTGACACATACAGAATCTCAGGAAAAGGTGCATTTACTTGTCTCACTGCTTATGTTTATCAGTCTGCCACTCCACCATCACCTCACTCTGTCAGTTCTGGCTGAAGTTGCTCCTGGTACCATCCCCTCTATCTCATCGACCTAAGGAACTGAATGGGAGAACCTGGCACACATTGCTGTGCCAGCAGCCGTTGTCCTCAAGTCACAAATGCATTACGTACAGCCAACCCTAACACAAACCACCAGCGCTCACCTTTTTGATTGTACCATTTCTCCTTCCTTCTTTTGTCCCTCAGACAGTTTTACATGTACAACGCTATGCTTCTTACACCAAAGGCTTCAAAAAATAAAATAGTAATTTTTAAAAATCACATATATTTAATTCAGTCAGTTCTTTATTCATTGCCTTACCGAGAGTCTCAGATAATGGTAACAGAATAGCAGAACAACTTTCCTCTGCAGAAATTAGTCGTGCATACTACTCTAGTTGTTGTTTTTCTAATTCTACTTTTAACTATGAAGTATGTTCCTTGGTCACCAGAGCAGCCTTCTTAGCAAGCACGCTAAAAGACACTCCCTTGAAATCCCTTCGCAAAGTAGACCCCTTTTGTAAAATGCAGCTTTACAGGTTCACGTTACTGAGGTGGTCACTTCATTCCTCAAGCCCTTCAGAACACCCGAGTTCATTCCGGTCAGGGTGGGTGACTTACGTCAGTTGGCTTCAGCAACTCTTCTGACAAGCCAGAAGTCCATTAGCTTCATCAGCAGAAGAGAGACGATTGGTTCCCTTCCCATTATCCTTTGGACTGAACACTGAGGCAAAGAAAGGTTTTCATTTTAACATTTTCATCTTTCTTAATTTTCTTTAAATCCCAGATGACCCAGCATGCACATTCCTCCTTGGGCTTCTAATTTCCAACAAACTGCATTTACACAGCTTTACATACTGACCTTTAAAATTTTTTTTTTAGTAAAAAAAAAAGGAAAAAAATAGGATGCTAGCGTGTTATTTGTGGCCGTTTACAAAACCCCTTGGTTCTGTGGGTTTGTTTTGGAGGGAGGCGGTTAATTTTTGTTTTCAAAAGCCTTAAACAAGCTTTAGCTTAACTAAACCCTTAAACCCCACAGATATGAATGACATGCTTCCTAACTCACTCACCTTGGGCACAAGCACATGTATGTGAAGCCCAGCTATAATACAGACCTCTGAAGTCCACTAATGCACTAATCTAAATATATGCCAGGTTACTGCATTAAAATGCCTTTCATGTACAGCCCAGCTGATGGATCTTCATCCCATGTCCTGTACATCCAAAGTTCACTTCCATGCATCCATCAGATGCCAGCACTAAACCAATGTTCACATGTTCAGATATGTGAACAAGAACCCAACAGAACCTGCATGAGAGACACCGTTTCATGTTAACTTGCTGGTTCAGCAAGAAACAGGGAAATCGGGGCAGAGCAACAGCCCTTCTTGTGTAGAAACTTCTGTAAGGTTCACAAGTTGGAAGTCCAGAAAAATGCATTAAGCATTTGTTTGCATCTCAACTTCTTTAGAAAAATCTAGCAACAAATTACCAAAACCACCTTAAAAATCTACTTCAGAATAAATTTTCCAGCCCACCCACAGTTATGCCTCCAATCTCCTTTAGAATCCACTTCCTGCTTTGATCCATCAAAGACAGAGGCAGCAAACACATCAAGCAGATTAAGTCCCATTTGCCTTCCCAGACTTCAGAAGAAACAGGCACTCTTCCAATAAGCTAACTGAAACCAATCCGTACCCTAGTTTTTCCATAGCTGACACCCTAAACAGTGAAAGTCAAACTAAGTGACAACTGTGAAAAAAACCCCTCATCCAAGTTGTTGGGGAGAACACAGTTGCAGTAGAGATGAATATGAAAGTGAGTACTGTTTCCAGCTAAAATGGACTGCAAGAGCAGCCTTCAGTTCACTCCGGGTACACTGTACTGACGTGCTACAAAGTACTGGCACTTGCAAAGTGCTCAGACAGAAGCTTCATCGCTTCACCTCACCAACTACTGAGGTCTGAAATGACCACCATGGTTTACTGAGTGCAAAACAATTAAGCATCAGATCATTGTGGAGTCTGCGATTGCAACAATTATCTGTGTACTACAGTTTTATCCATAAGTTTATGTGTGTCTACACATCTAGGAAAAATAACATTATACATTCACTTAGCACACAAATATCACAAGTATCTCTGCAAATATTTGTACCAGAAGCCTGCAGGTTATAAGCATAAGACTTTCTTATTTTCCGTGTACACAAAGGCCAGAGTCAAAGTTAATTTTCACTTTTAATAAGCTCATCATTCTTTGTTATTTAATACTCTGTAAAAAGGTATTACAGATTGATAATTATTGCAGTGACTTCTAAAGAAGATGGACAGCCACAAGGCTTAAACTACAATTTCATATACATTATGTAGTCATTGATACCATCTACTACAGCATGAAGAAAATACTTTTAAAATAAAAAATATTTAACTGAAAACATAGAAATGGAGCTTGCTTTCTTACAGTATGGTTACATATCAATATTCCAAGAATAACATTTTAAAAAATGCTAGATCTTGAAAGGTCATAGATAAAAAGACTCATGATGAAGATGAACCAGTTTTGCCCAGAAATGCTATAATGAGCACACTGCACAGTTTTTCAGCAAATCCTAGTTTTGCCAAGCTTCAAGAGGCAAAAGCCTGAAATGTAAATGCTTCAAAATTGTCTAGCTAGTCCACTCGTCCTGCTCTGGAAGGCCCAGTGACCCACGCTGCTCTACAACAGCATGTCACCACAACTGTTCTTTGCTGCCATGAATGAATGCCATCAGGAAGAGATGATTCAGGTCCTTACGATGCCAGGCCTAACAAAAAGCCTCCAACAAATCCACTGGACACCACGATGTTCTGTTTGATAAATTCTGTTGACTGAGAAGAAAAATGATATTTGTAAAGAACTGAGTCAGTTGTGTCTGTAACATTTAATACTTATCACAATTGCCTGGAATCAAGAATACTAAAAATGGGGGAGGGGCTGGGGGGGAGTGGGATACAACATGTTTAAAAACTTACAAAGCTAGGTGGCAACTGCTGGCACCAATGAAGTGAAAACTGTTGTTTAACAGCTGTCTTTAACAATATATTTAAAATACAGTTAGCATTTTAAAAGTCAAAATACAGACAAATGGTCATAGCAATTTTATGCCAATAGCACTCTTTTTTTGATTAAAGCGAGACAGATGTTTTACAAACTCCCTTGGCAAAAAACCATAAGCACCACCACAGACTTCAATTTTAATCACATGAAAAAAGTTTTTAAAAAAATATTTTGTTTTGGAAACTAGATCAATGAAAAAGAAATACCCTTCACTCCATTATGAGCCAGTTTCCTAACAACTTAATGCTATGTATGACATCTGTGTACAGTATTTCATTAAGTAATAGCAGAGTATAACATGTTATATCAAACGTGCCATTTCATAAATCCTCCACTTCAAACACTTCAGATTGGCTACTAGTACACAATTAGAAGAAAGTAACATAATGGGGGTGGGGGTGGGTACATGGGACGACAGACAACACACGGACGCAACAACCAAAACCCCCATCCTGTCCCACCCACTTCTGCAGGGCAACAGAAAAGGATAGGTTAAGCTATCTGGGGTATAGAAGAAGCTAGAAAATAATCTCTCTTGAACTTCAACTTCACATTCACAGTAAAATTTAAGGTAATTTTTATCAACCTATGTGCAACTCCATATAGGTTAAATCCGAGATGTCAAAACTCTTAATTACTGAGTGCTAGTGTGGCTGCTGTTACATTTTATCTACAGCATATTCCAAGTCAGGATTCACAGTTATTGAGAAAGAAACCTAGATAGTCTGTGTGAAATGTGAAAATATGTAAAAACAGGCTAAATCTACTTTAATAACAAAAAAAGGATAAAATTATTAAATCAAAGTCTTCAAATGACAGAATGAAATAGCCCCAGTAACACTGATCAGTATCACATGCCACCCCAGTGTGTTACTGGCAGATTTTGAAGACAGGTATTCTTCAAACTGTATAAAAATGAGATAAAAAACACAAGTCTAGTTACAAAGTAGTTATAGCTTTTCTCCAGAGAGAAAGGTCAGTCTTTCCCGACAAGTAATTTTGTTACCAGCAGACTAAGAAAATTTGAGTTTTGTCTTTCTAGCTACTGGGTTTTAACCATAAGACCCTCAACTTTTTACCATGTCACAACCTTACTGGCTTTCTCACCAGTCAAGAATCTATACAGATTAAACGGCAAAGCCAATGGCAGTACCTAAGCCGTATCAGCTGTAGAAATGCATTAACTTTGAAGATTGTGTGTTGTCTTTAAGAGTGAGCAAAATAGAAAGCTAAATAAATAAAAGTGAGTACAGTCCAATAATTTTTAATGAAATATACAGCCAGACCATTTCTGATGCCTTCCAGTTTTCCATGTGCATTTTCAACTAATCATCACCTGCAGTGAAGGTAAGAAAAATTGACTGCTAGAAAACAGTTTATCACCTTAGACTTACCTCTTCAATTAGAGTATTGATTTCAGGTGCTGCCTTATTTGCACGCTTTTTTAACTGTTTTTTTGCTTTGTTTACATCTTTTTCAACTCTCTTCCAGTCAACTTGTACATATCCACTATGACTAGCAATCTAGGAAAATAAAGCATATTTAGTACAGTTTTAGTTAGCATTTCATGAGTCAAAATACAGCACCATAGTGCCTACAGAGTGATTTTTCTTTCTTTTTTTAATTACAGATACAGGAAAAGACATTGTTCCAATTACAGCAGGTATTCTGCTTCATACACTAATATTTTCCACAGTTAACAGCAGTTCAAATTAGAACAAGCAATGGCAAATTTCAGTAGACTCTTGTTAATTTTACCAGTTCTCTATTCTTTAGATATAAAAGCAGTAAATAACAATGTTTTTCCTTCAGCATTTACTGAAGTAACTTTACTTGTAAGAAAAGGAAAGGGAAAAGTACATTCATAGCACAACAATGAAAAAACTGTTTCACTTCAGCTTCTTTCCGAATTGTGGAATTCTGACATGTGACAGAGTATCTGGGGCTAATCAGAATCATTCTTAGAAATACTGGGAACTATTATTTTATCCTACATCATTTAAACTGTCCAATAAAAAAAGTATTCATTACAAAAGAATTCTCATACTTTCTACAAAACAAAGCCAATAAGTAGAAAAATAACGTGGCCTGTGTACAGGACAAGTTCTGTAACATCAGCAAAATGGGTAAGTTTTGTGGGATTGTTCATAGCAATTTATACTCAAACTCCCAAAACGTTTAAACAATATCCAAGCGATTTTTAACACGTTTAACCATCATCCCAACCCTTTGCCTTATTTCTCTTACTAAGATTTTTATCCTAGGAGAAAAAGTAACATGTTCTGTTACTTGACCAACACTGACAGTCCCACCAATTTCCTTGAGACAATTCACAAAAGAAATACATATTTAAATGTTTACAAAAATCATAGCTTAAAAAGAAAAAAAAACCAACCAACTAGACAATTACTGCATGCTCTACAGAATAGATAACTCACTCATTAGTTGGGAAAAAAGATAGAAAAAAAAAACAAAACTAAGGATTACCGCCTATTTTAACTGCTAAGACAAATAGATACAGACCACTCACATAACAGGTAAATGACCATTATACAAAAAAACTTTATGAAGAGTGGGATTTCTCAGGTCCTTCTTAAGGTCCTGTTTGGCAAATTCATGTAACTTATGTAAGAGCATTATATGCAAATAGTACAATTGGTCGATAAAAGTCACAGATAATGAACTTCTGTGGAACAGATATTTAGATAAACAATTTATTAGGTTTGCCATAAAAATAAGTTTCACTTTGCTTACCAGCACTGAATTTTGACTTTCACATAGTTCTTTCTACCAAATAACTAAAATGAGACCATCTAGCTTCTTTTACAACAGCCACAATAATTAAACAACATATTTTACCACAAATTAGAATTTCATGATCCTGAAAAAAACTTAAAATGAAACAAGTGTCAGACAGATTTTTTCTGAATTCAAAACAAAGCTCCTAAAAGACCAACTATGTAAGAAAGTAAACTTCGCTTTCCATCTTTGCACAAGATTTTAAAAAACCAATTCACTGGACAAATGCAAAATGAACTTATTAAATACTATACTCTTCTTTACTTCATACCTCAGAATGTAACAAATTCATTGACCTTGTCTGACTATTGCAAAACCATTTACCCACACGGGCACCAGTGTTAGGCAGGGATAGCTAATTAAGGACTGTCTACACAATATGAAAACATGAAACCAGTCTTAAAGCTGTACTCGTTGCACATCCAGCCACTGGATGACATACCGGCCAGGTTGGGGGTGGG